AGAAACCTTGCATCACATACTACTTAACCCTTTCCTACTTTGTCAAAGTGCATTAGAAAATATTATGCAAACTAAAACAAAGCACATAACATTGACAACTTAGTATGTATCTAATGACGTTGCATAAAACCCAGTTACTCAGATTCAAAGGATCACTCATCTACTGCTGCTTTAAAGCAATGGTGGAAGTAATTTACTGAGTTCTCAAACCCAAAACTGAAACAAAATGAAAGACAAGCAAACAGAAAGTTTAAAGACAATACGCTCATTGTAATACACAAATAGAAAAAAAAACCCAACTCATACCATTGCTGCCAAGTCCTCCCTTTCCTTCTTCATTTCTGCCCGCAGTGCTTCTTTTTCATCAGTCCTCTTATTTAGCTGGGCAGCTAACTCCTTTTCAAGACGATTCTTCTGCCGTTCCATCTCACTTTTCAGCTGCTCACACTGGACTAGAGCCTAGAAAAAACTACTTTTTTAAGTGGAAGAAACTTAAAATTTTTAACAAACGTGGTATTTATCTCACACCTTCAGAGCAACCAATTTGCTATTAGAAAGGATATCTTTTGGGCTTTTTACATAGTAATTATGACATTTATACATACCCTACTGTGTTAACATCTAGAATAGAATTAACAAAATGAAAACAGATGTATATGTTTGTATATATATACTCACCCTACTGTAATTTAGAAATCTAATTGCTTTTAGGAGTCATGGCAAACATGGAAGCATTTTTCAATGTATATTTTCCAAATAAGTATCTGTTCTTCTAAAACTAAGATGATTATTTGCCTTGCATTCAAAATTCCTGAATGTGCATCACTAGAATCAGCCTCCAATATCTGACTCTTTGCAAATGCAGTGGTTCCTGCCTAACTGCATAGCTGAAGGAAAAATAAACAAATAATGTATGCTTTTCCACTTGTTTTCCCCCTGAAGTGAATTACTCAGTGCGGAAGGCTAAGAAGAAACCTGGAAGAAGTAAGTAAAGATACAAAGAAACAAATTTTTTTTGTTGTTTCATTTCAGTTTTCTCAAATAAAGATTAATTCTACTGAAAACGCATAGATGTCCTGCTTAATTTGAAGTGCTAAAACACAAGTTATAGATGTATTTTGTGTCAAAATAGAAGAAACATAAGTTCATATGCAAGAAGCACAGTAGACACTATCTTCTAAAAAAGCTAGGGAAAAAAAAATAATGATCAATTTATGCTGATGTATCCCTGCCAAAGGGATAGGAGTTGAGCGTTATGTCAGTTTAAATCAGAAATACACTACTCCATTAAAAGTAAATCAAAATATTCAAACACCCTAAAGGCAGCTTGCTAGCCCACAAGTAAACTAGATTTCATTTCATCATTTCACTGATATCCAGCATATGCTATTTCAGGGAAGCTAAAGTAACCTCCTTTTAGGAACCCTACCTTATTACCCTTTACTTTCAAATTAGTATTTTTAAACTGCTTATTTTTCATTTACTCAAAGCCAATCCCCTGTATGCAATTTCCTTGGTTTTGGGCTGTTCATGAGGGAAGCAAATTAAACGATAATGCTCTAACAGTCTCCATTAGGTTTATGTCGATTCTGTGGGACCCTCCTCAGAGTCTCTTTCCTACCACAAGGCTACCTTGGTGAGGGGGAATCCCTCTGTTGCCTTGAATCCTTTTTTGCAGGAATGTATTATCAGCATCAGCAAAAAACTGCCTGCATAAGGCTGCTATAGTTTGGCAGACTTGTAAAACCAGACAACTCTAGAAGAAATAAGTTGCAAGAAGAAACGTGTATTTCGTTACCTCCGCTGTTTTGACTACATAATGAGTAGTTCAAACAATTATTCTCCTATGACATTTATGTTGAAAATACATTCCTGGATTTGCTTCAGCTATGGAAGATTAACCTTACTCAATCTCCTCCTTGCTCTATGTAATAGGCAAGATGCCACAAACTACAGATACAGCTGAAAGACAAGAAAGAATGGTGGGTTTAAATGATAAGCACGTGAGGTTAGACTTTCTGCCAACAGGGTAATGAAATGGCAATTATAGCATTTGGAAGCCCAGTCTGTTAACGCCTCACTTTTCTTATGTGGACTTCTCTATTGGATTCCATGATAAACACAAAGAAAAACAGCACTTCACCTTAGGACTAGGAAAATAAAGGATGGTTTGTACTTACCAAGAGAAGTACTAGTATATGTAAAAATCCTAAATTAATGCAGCCTAAGTAAAATATTCCTTCCTGTTCCTTCATATTACAACAGTTTTTGAGCATGGAAGAAACACACTACTATTCAGTCTTGTATAAAGGCAGATAGCACTTCACATTTCTTTGTTGCAGTGAAGCAGGTGGCCAGCAGAGACCCTATGGAGCTGCTTTCTTTACATGGGACAAATAGGATAGGTAGGAAGACCCATTTCATTAAAGGCTCTACTAATTTGTCTTACTAAGTTTTATTCTTACACCACATTTCTAACTTGAGCTAAACTGAGTAAGAATTTATAGGGATTTTCTTTTTAAATATTAAAATAAAGATTTCCAACACCAAATCAGAAAAGAACATCAGACAACTTCATTGCATAGAGGAGGAAAAGCATTTTGTGCAGTTTTAAATAGTAGTGAGTAACGCGTGCACTATTAGAAACAACAGCATTTCAATTTTTAAAAAAACCCAACAAACCAAGCCCCAAAATTCTCAATTCCATAGTAATTCACTAATAATACAGTAGATGTCACTAAATATCAAGGAAATAATTTAGGTCAATATTGGTTGACTGTATACAGTAACTAAGGCTAACACAAGCATTTATTTGATCTAAACTGGTTTGATCATTATTATTTACATAGCACCAAAAGCTTCCTGTAGGTAGCATCAGACAGGGCTTCTCATCGTGAAAGAGCTCTGTTAGCTAATCAGTTCTTGCACTGCACTCATCTGAGGCAAGAGAGTTGTTTGTAGTCATTTTAAGTTACTCTTTCCAGAGTAGCTCAGAAATGTGACATGAGAATTATCCTCCTACATGTCATGGATGCCTTAGAAAATCTACCATTCAATTTCTATCACCTAGCTGTGAATAAATAGCGGCCTAAGATTGCAACACACCCTACAGCCTTGATGAGAATTTAAGAACTCGAATATAGATTTCATGTTACTGCTCAGAAACAGTCAAACAATGCAATGCTTTTAAATCTACTACAGCATATCAACAGTGATAAAAGTCTTATGCATGTATTCTTTCATTAGCATGAAAACTAATTAACATTTGCAGTAGATCTGAATACTGAAAAGCTCTCATTTCTTGATGAATTTACCGTTGTTTTTTCTAAATTGGCCTCTTCTGCCATTTGCACAGCTTGTTTAACTTGCTCACAAGCATTAGCTTCTCTTTGCTGCATCTCTTTCATGTTTCGTCTCAGTGAAACAAGTGCATCCATCAAGTCATCTCTTTCTCTGCGTATAAAGAAAAGACATATTTCTCCGATATCTTTTCTCAAGAGAAAAAAAAAAATAGGTATATCAAATATAAAATGTTAACAGATAAAAGACATAAGGGTGGTAAGTGAAGGAAGACTAAAACCTGCAAGGGTTAAGCGTGAAAGACAGCATACTGCTAGCTTGGCAGATATTAAAAATATCATTTGCTTGATGACGAGTCCTTCATTTAACAAGGACAGACCATCAGTGAAACTGTCAGCAATGACAGCAGAGCTCAAGTCATAAGCATATTGAAGCTGAGCAACATTCTGTTGGCATTACAAAATGGGGATCCATGCTAAAAAAAAACACAAACCAAAACACCATGTTTCTGAAAAAAAGGCATGTTTCTGAAAAAACAGATCGAAGCAATATGAAATTACACTGTCAATAAATGTAAAATTGGGAGAAAAAAAATAAAAGGAAGGGTTAGGTTCAACAAGTAATTCAGATCACTAAGTATGTCAAATGAAAAATCAATAGCCCTTTGCTGCAAATGGAACTAAGCAGTAAGACTTTTGGATTCTACATCCCCTCTGAACTTTTGTTAACTGAGATCTATACCAAATGGTGAAGCATAGTTGGTAAAACTATAATACTTAACTTCACCTTTTCATTATTTTATATGCTGAAAGCTTTTAAATTAAGAGTATAATTGTCTGTGTTTTAAGTGCAACTAGAGATTCTGGCTGAAAACTGTTGTGTTTGGGTTTGTTTTTGTTTTTTTTTTTCCCCTTTATGTTGTGTGGAATGGTAGCACAGTTGTATTTGCCAGACAACTAAGTCATATTTTCAAATTTCATTTCAAGAAGATTTGGACAAAGTCCCTTTGAAAATCCCTACCGAAATATCTTTGTTTTTATCAAGTTGCATCACAGGAAGATGTAGCTTTCAGATTTTGTTAAATCTCAAACTGAAATAACTGTTTAAGAAAGATAAATAGGTCAGCTCAAATCTTTTATTTCAAACTGCACTATAATACAAGATGACAAGAATGTACTGATTTATCGTTTGTTAATATTTTCCAGTGTCTGTGACAAATAATTACTTTTCTTACGAAAGCAGATTTTTGAAACATGACTTTCCAGCAACAGAGAGCTTTCCCAAAAAATTCTTGGACTTGACAATAGAAAAATATGTAAATCCTGGCAACAGTCATCTAATGCATAGAGATAATACCCATTTGACAGACTACATGTACTATGTCCCTTCAGTCTTCTTGCTTCTAATTGAACCACTACCTCATCTCCAGCAGGGTCATTCTAAAACTTCAGAAATCCTAAGAAGTTTCAGATATCTGACAATAAATAGATATCTGTTTAACAAACTTTGAGAAAGCTGCAGAATCCTATCATTATTACTAGCAAGTAGAAAGGGAAATATTTTTGAAGATGACTGACTAGCAGAATTTCTTAAGAAAAAAAACATTTTAATGCTGTTGGGCTTTCTGAATTATATATATTATATTCAGTCTGTATAGCTGTTTTTTAAATTATTTAAATAAAAGCTACAATTAAAAAAATGCTGCAGCAAATAATTTCATTTATTTTTATCCAAAGGAACTTTTTTCCATGACTTATTCTAACTAGAATAATAAGGGAGGAGCAATGAGTCCTATCCCAAACACCTGACCTACTAAGCAAATTCAACTTGGGGCGGGGGGG